AAAAAGTCTAACTTATTTCCAGTACCTGGCTTGGGCTTGCCATATATGATTTTTGGTAAACTTTTTTTTCTCAGTTGTTTGTTGGGATATCTTTTTGAAACTTGGGTAATATATGATGGAAAGATTCTTCTTAACGTACACCAAAAATTAAAGAAACCAGACAACCGAGTTCACTTCACAGCCATTAGCTGTCCCTTAGCGGAATATTTTTGTGTTTTTTTTTTTTTTTTTTTATCTTGATAGAATTGAAGATATCTTACAGAAATAGGAGTTTGATTGGTTTCACGATGCAAAGTACCTTCAAATTTAGCTTATAGTGGAAATGTTTGATTTTTGCTGTTCAAGAGTAAACAAGTGACGTCACCGTCCAATGTGTGTCCAACTGGCCAGTCTAATACGCAGTCATGAATGGGATTGAAATTATTTATACAGTTACAATAATGCAGTAGCCTGCATAACAGTACATAAATCTTCTATTTTTTTTGTGTGTGTGTGAATAAAAATTCAAAATGGAAAGCAAGAGTAATATAAGAGGTGCCTGTAGATGCGACTAATGAACAGAGAAAATGTTATTTTAGTGTCAGGAATGTCTGCATTATTTATTCTGGACCCTATTTTGAAATTTGTATGAAATTGGCCAAACTGCCAATTTCTGACCACTTTATTGGGTAGTTGGAACAGGTGAATGGGCAGTTTCTTGTACTCATTCGACAATAGAAGTAAGTTTATTCAGGTGTACACAAATAATTACATAGGATAACCTATAAAAGTAAGACAAAGTGACTATTTCCATTGAGGTCCTTAAAAGCTATCGTGTAGTCAATGGGTTTTAACGCATAATGAACCAGCTAGCCGTTTTGTATAACCAGAAACAAAAACAGATCTTGCAAGATTGTTCTTGCAAGAGTTGCACTGAAGCAAAGGTTCAGTGCAACGCTTGTATAAACCTTGCTGAATTTAAACAGCACTAGAGAAGGAATACTAGTGAAATAGCCATGAGTCTGGTAGAAAAACAATGGAATGTGCCAAAAATAGGGTGTAAATTGGGTGAAATCGTCGATGCGTAAATATTGCTGTTGTGTTAAGTGTATTTTAACCACTCTGTAATCTGGCCAAGTGTCTAATCCGGCACACTACAGGTCCCGATGATACCGGATTAGTGATGGCCGATCTGTAGTACCCGTGATATTTGCCAAGTACGTACTCTGACTATAGGTCACTCAATGCTCCTACCAACAAAAACAAAAGGTAAAATTAAACAAAAGCTACAAACATGAACAGAATGCTCAACACAAATGCTGTCATACCAAGTTAAAATACGTAATAAATTACAACACCCATTAAATTTTTAATGGCTAAAAAGACTCCTAAGAATGTTCCAAGATCCCTAATCACCCTGGTAACTATAGTGAACCTCTATGACTAAAGTGGGGAAAGGGCGTCTTTTAAAGCCAACTGATCATTAAATCTGAATTATGAGAGTATTTTTCCATGACCATAGCATTAAGAGAATTTTGGGTTTAACAGACTGTGTTGTCTGGCCACAAATTTTTTCTTAAATCTGAAATTGGGATCAATTCAATTGAGGCTTTACTGCCAAAGAACCATGAAGACAAAAATGCCTAAGCTGTGGTCAAACTATTAAAATACGTTCAACATCAGGCTGCATGCCACAGGCCTCACAGGGAGAAAAGAAGCACCTGTGAATAGGTGGTTATGGGCAAGATTGTGCCCGAGTTTTCAGTCAAATTCATCTCAAAGCAATTATTCGTGTTGGAGGAAGAGAGCCAAACACCCACATCCTGTAAAACTCATAGTTTGTGGGGACATCTATTGATATAGCCAAGGAACCCACTATACTGGAGGCTCACTAAAGCAGCCTTTGCCTTGGCATTTGCCCATTCATTTTCCAGGACACCAACAGAACCCCACATCCCTGTGCTGCACGTTTCTAACCATTTGCAGATCTTTCAACCCACAGGATGAACATAAGCATACTGGGCTAGGGTAGAGGCATAATTTGAAATTGAAGAGCCCTCTAACCAACTAGATCACTTGGCACTTTTAGCAGTAAATAATTGCAACACAAGAACATCAAAGGTAAAATTAATAACCAACTACTAGCATGTTAACCCAAATGCTACGAAGGTAAAATAATCAGAATCTGTTAAAAAATTACAGTAAAAAAAAGATTCCCAAAGATCCTACAAACACCCCCATACATTATAAAAACCACGACAAAAGCAAAAATACCAATTTCATGGATGTACAGATAAAATGTGCACCGGTCAGCTGCATGTCACAAGCAACAGAGGGTAGGTAGGAGCACTTGCCAACAGTTGACCAAGTGAAGTGTACACATGCATCTAATACCCAGCTGATAGTAGTCTCTGTGGCTATTCCTGCTGAAAGAAGGCCATACACCCATGTCTTGCCTAACCCTATACAAATTTCCTTATCTGTAAAGCCGACCAGGCCAGCCACTTCAAAAAACACGTATTTGGCCCGTGAAATTTCTGCTGGTGCCCGGACCAGGTTGGGATACCATGATCAGGGCACCTACAGAACTCCACATCTTTGTACAATGACACACTTAGACAGCACTTAGGAATCTTTATTGTGAAAGCATTTCACCAGCCAGTGGCTTCACAAGTAGTTTGAGGTAATTAGTCCCTCAGCTGGCAGCAATGTGTTCAGTCCATAACATCTTTTTTGCTATGCATGGAAATGGGCTAACGACTCTAGAATCTTTTTGGACCACAGAGTGGACAAGCATACTGGGCCAGAATAAACAGAGAACATTGGAAATCTGAGTAGACAGTGAACCAAGATCCTACTGTTCCAGCTATCAGGATGAAAGCAGATAGGATTATGGAGCTCGGCAGTGAACACAGGATTTGTTTGGTAACTGTGCACAATAAGATTCCTCAACAACCAGCACTATCCTTGTGAAATCCAGTTAACCAGCAGATTTTATCCATTATTTCCAAAATCCAATAAACAAAAGTCCATTCAATTAAGGTTTTACTGTATATTCATTGGAAGGAAAAGCTCAGCCCATAGGGGTTGTACAGTACCAGGAAAATGAGACCAAGCAAATGGAGTACAGTTTCAATGCTTTGAACCAAGAATCCTTCACTAGCATCAAGGCACCTTCCTTGAACCGTTTCAATTCTTATTCATTCATTGATGATAAACCCATAGGAAATCACTTTTGATCTGAGGAAGGGGAGGTCTTCCAATTCCCCAGATGAGTTTCATTGGAATTAACCCTTTCACTGTCCAGACCTCCAAAATTAATACGTATTGTTCTGAGTGTCCTCTTTACCAAAAAAAAAAGAACTCCTGAAATGGTAGATCTTTTTCTGGAGGTAATGATACCAAAAGTACAAAATTATATGGGAAACTAACAGAACTATACAAGCAAAAAGGTAGCAGTCTTTGGTCTTGGAATTTATGCAGTGGCAATTTCACCTGCTTTGAGTACTATTTTAAACTAATTCTATTGTTCCTTTCAACCATATTATTAGCTATTTCCCTAGTATGCCTTTCAGTCTATCGATTGAGGGCAAAAAAAAAAAAATACCCATTCAACTATTACCACTACCCTATAAGTGCACACAAGTCAATAATTTGGCCAATTTTAAACTTAATACCAAATTAAAAAGGAGTCCAAAATAGACATTCCAAGCATTACATTACCCTTGTTCATTAATCACATCCTCAGGCCTGTCCTCTATTACACTTCCTTTCCATGTTGAATTATAATCACACAAATATAAGATTTACAGCTTGATAAAGCTCCTGGAGAGGAAAACTTTGCCACAATAAAATGTCACTAGTTGCACATGTCCTTTTTCTTAACAAGATTTATTCTTTTTCTCAGGTAATAAAATGCAACTAGGAATGATTGGTCATGGTTTACAGTATTCCAATAATTGAATCAGACCTATTAAAATCACATAAAACAGACTGGAGTTCTAGGGAAGGGACCTTGCCCAGGAAAATCTACAAAAATCAAATATTTCCACTACTTGAGCTCGATTTAAAGCTGTACGTCTATTCCTGACACCAACCAACAAAATCTGTCAGTAGTATGTCTTCCATCAAATGATACTAAATAATAGCCAATAAAATCACAAAAAAACTATCTAAGGAAATGCCTCAAAACAGCTAATTTAAACTATATATAAAGTCAAAGTTTTGCCTTTCTCATCTTGCACTACACAGGGCAGGATTTTTTTTTTTATACTGTGCACACTTGCCACACATCCATTTCCTCATACCTAGGCCAAAATTTACTGCTCACAGCTTATGTGGGTAAGCTAAGCTTGTAATGTTGAACTATACAAGGGACCCTGGTCTCAGTGATGTAATTCAGCCACTTAAGAGACTCCCTTGATGGAGAGAGATCCAGGTAGTAATTCCACTATTTTTATCTTTAAGCACAATAAGCTTACCATTACAATATTAGATAATGGTTATATGTATAAATTTACAAATGTACTTTACCCTTTACTCATGAACCCCTTTGTTATACAGAGTTAAATAACCATACATGGCTGTGAATGTATTAGAACCTTATATCTTACCAAATTTTTTGCCGACTATAAAAAATTTGTCAGTGCAAAAAAATTTTAAACATTTACTGAATAGGGGTGGGGATAGCATTAAACCCATAGGGATCATGAAGCACCTTGGGAAACGAAAGAATCTCAGCCAAGTTAAATAATAAATTACGATTTCAAATCAAACAGATTAAATGCAGAAACATGTCCTTTGCATAAGATTATAGACAAAAAAATTTGCTTAAATGATGCAGTAGGTAAAGATATGCAGTCTGTTTGTCTTATATAATAAAGTAAGGTATGCTACCTCCTTTACAGCAGCAATACCAATACATATATTAATCCACATTTTATTTTCAAACCTTGTGTAAAAAAGATATGCTTAATATGGGAAAGTTTAATAATTAGAGGGTTAGAAATAAGATACATAAATGTTGCAAAAAGAATTATTTTATTGCTTTATGAAGAAATAACAGAAAAAATCAAAACTTGTCAGAGCCTTCTTGAGCTCTTCTCATTTAGCAATCTTGGCCTATATACTCAATGGAGTTTTGTCAACTATTTCAGGTACTGTTCCAATGCTCAATTCCTGAGGCATTAATGTGTTGTGTAAATGATTTAATAAATGATTCAACAAATTACTGTATCTCAATTTACCTCATGCTCAAAAATACTCAATGATAATATTGTTTATTTAAGAACTAAACTAAAGACATCATTCATAAGGAAAGTATGAACTCAATGAAATTAAACTGGTATGTATAGAACTTTACATACACAGTATATGCCTCAAGAAATACGATCTAGTGCCTCAAGCATAATAATGCTGCTTCCTCGGATTACCTGTCAAGAAAATAATACGATTAAAAAGAATTCGAAAACCTACAAATTTAAATTATTCTAACCAGTTATTAATCTAAAGCTTTACAAGATGTCAATATTGTTTTTAGATTCACCTTTGCATTTGACTATGAAAATAAAATTTTAAGGTTGTGAATAGTTACATTATTTATAATGCCAATTAAAGTAAACAAGAATTTCAAAAAGGGTACAAATTAAAGTGGGTTTCACTGTACCCAACCACAAACTGTATCCCCACAAAACACAACATAGCATAAAGAAATTTTATATATGCAATATTTAACAATTTTACATGAACCCCTTCAAGAGTGTGCCTCTTGGACAAAGGGCTCCTGATACAAGAAAGTGGAGCTACCCTTCCCCTTTCTTGAATCAAATCTAATCACCTCTAATTCACCAAGTGCTGTATGACCCCTATGGGTTTAGCAATTTCTCTGTGAATACGATACTACACAAACAAACTTAGCCCCTTCCAATAATAAAACGTTACCCAATTTCACCATCCATGGAAGTCTGCTGTCTAAGTTAACTACAAATGAAAACCCTTAAACTGTCAATCAAGGCAGCAGATACACAAGCAGACAAGAATGCAGCTTGCCATCAAACCTAAGAGTGATGTTAGACGAAAAATGATTCAGTGGAGCCTGAAACGGTCTGCCTATTCTCTCTCTACCCACCCACTAAAGAAGGTACTGTGCTTGCCTACTGAAGAGCCAAAGCTCACAACAACTGCATGGGCAACCAGTTTTCCAATCAGAGCACTGACACTGTCCTTGTAAATTCCTGCATGTTCAAAATAATGCAGAACTGCTATTCCTTGTTATTTTTTAGTAAGATTAACATATAATTACTTAAATATGATGTTAAATTGGTGGCTCATGTCTAATAGGATACCATCTCAAGCATGCATTTCCTTATGAATGGCTTCAAGCTGAAGGGTGAACTGGCACAAGCACTCACAGATCACACTCGCCCCAGGAGGCAAATTCTACTCAATGCTGACAGCATCGACAAAATAAATTTTAATGCCCTCAAAGACAACTGCTGTCAAGAGAATCAATTTGCAGAACACAGACTCAAATTGCTCATTCAGGATTTTGCTTATTACTTTGATGTTATTGGAAGACTAATGCAATACTGGATTAACCCCCACCCCCATCACAAATTTTGCACTTTAATTCTTATTTCCTAAATAGCATGTCTTGTGGTATGCTTTGGCTTCAACTGTCATTAATTTCTAGGGATAAGTTTACTTTTTTTTTCATCATGTTAAAAACTATTTTAGTTTACATAATATTGCTAATGTTTAGTTTATTTTTATCTAGACCTTGTTTGTGTCTGCATTCACATTTTCCATGCACTGGTTTCTGTTAAGAACACTCAAGATGGTTTCACAGGAAATGTATGAGGGATTCCTGTATTTTGTCCTAGTATACTCTACTGCTGAAGGTAAACTTGCTAAACATCTCTTCATGCTGCTTATTTCTAAGATTATTCTCCACACATGAATGGGACAAATCTAAGGTCTGAATACTGAATCATTTGTAATGAGCTGGAGGCAGAGAGAACAATAATTAAAGCAGACATGGCATAATTCCACTAAAAATACTGGAGTAGAAGACAGTTGTCTCTAGATAATTCTGATTTTAACCCTTTGACTTGTTTCAGTCGTATATATATGTCTTACGAGCCAATGTGTTTGAACGTATATACACAAAAAATTCTAGCAGCTTCAAATCAAGCAGGAGAAAGCTGGTAGGCCCACATGTGAGAGAATGGGGCTGTGTGGTCACTGTGTGTGCAGTATATAAAAAAAAACAAAATCTTGCAGCAAGCAGTGCATAATTAGGAAGAAAAAAAAAAAAAAACAAAAAAAAAAAAAAACTTTTGGGACTAAAATGCCGACTGAGGTGTATTTTCGTATAGTTTTTATGGTTATACTCTTGTTTTTCTACTCACATTTGACAGAATGGAAAACATATTATAGAAATGGAGGCAATTTTGATTGGTTTTACTATGAAAACAACCTTGAAATGGAGCTCAAAGTGGGGAAAATGTTTGATTTTTGCTGATGTTCAAGAGTAAACAAATGATGTCCTTGTCCAATAAATGTTCAACTAGCCATTCTAATATGCAGTCATGAATGGGTTGGCATTATTTATACAGTAGGGCCCCACTTATACGGCAGGTTAGGTTCCAGGCTGTCACCGGAAAGCAGACATCGCCTGAAGGCAGAATGCCATTTTTTCCATTTATAAATGCATATAAATGCCAAACAAGTTTACACTAAATTATATTAAGTTAATAATAGAACTAGGCATTAAAAACACACAAAACAAAATACTGTATTCACAGTACAGTACATTCATTACTTATCTTGAAGTATTTGTAATCTTAATGTAGGGAGAGGCGAGTAGTACTTATTTGTAGGAAGTCAGGTGTAGGTAGCCCTGGCTCCCAGTCTCATACATAATATATGATATTTAAAACATCCCAGAGTTAAAATACATATACAGTACACTCACTATTTACCTTAAAATATGTGTAGTCTTAATATAGGAAGAGAGGCGAGTAGTATTTATTTGTAGGAAGTCAGTGTAGGTAGCCGGTAGGTGTAGCCCACCTGGGCTACACCTGCACAATGTCACTTGTCCAATACACATCCAACTGGCCAGTCTAATACACATTTAGAAATACACTGACATTACAGCATTATTATAATTGCACAAGTCTACATAACGGTAAATCTACTTTGCGAATAAAAATTCAAAATTGAAACCAAGCATAATTATATAAGAGGGGCCTGGAGACATGACTAAGGAACAGAAGAAATGTTTTTTTAGTCCCAAGAATGTCTAGTCTATTCTGGACCGTTTTTAAAATGGCAATTTTTTAATTGTGTGTGAACTTGGCCAAATTACCAATTTTTGATCACTATCTGGTAAATGAAATGGGTAAATATGCAGTTTCTTGTACTCAGAATAGAAGGAATAATAGCGAAATAGCTACAAGTTTGGGCAACTGGAACAGTGGAATTGGCCAAAAATCTGATGCAACGTGGGCAAAAATAGCAGATACATAAATATCGCTCAGACCACTAACTTTACGACAGCGTAATTCTGAAGTTTTCCTTCAAATGTTGGTTTCATTACCTTCAGAAAACGATTCTCTATTATTTCACATTTTTTTTAAATTCCTCGACCATCAGAGCAAATCCGAGATCAGGGGTTTCGACCCTGAAAGGGTTACAGTAAGTACAGTGGACCCCCGCATACCGTTGGCATCACATAACGTTAAATCCGCATACTGATACATTTTATCGCTAAGATTTTGCCTCGCATACCGCAAAAAAAACCGCTCACCGCTATTCATCTGAGACGCGTCTATGTGAGGCCTGAGCCAGCCTCACATGTTCTGCCAGTGGCATTGTTTACAAGCCAGCCTCCGCGGTAACATCCAAGCATACAATCGGAACATTTCGTATTATTACAGCATTTTTGGTGATTTTATCTGCAAAATAAGTGACCATGGGCCCCAAGAAAGCTTCTAGTGCCAACCCTGTGGTAAAAAGGGTGAGAAATATTATCGAAATACTGTGGTACCATGGTCAACTGCTGATGCTGCTGCTGCTGTAGCACTCAGCTGCTGCTGCTACTGTACCATCAGCTGCTGCTGTACCACCGTCAGCTGCTGCTGCTGCAGTACAGTCTGCTGCTGCTGTAGCACTGTCAGCTGCTGCTGTAGCACTGTCAGCTGCTGCTGTAGCACTGTCAGCTGCTGCTGTAGCACTGTCAGCTGCTGCTGCTGCTGTAGCACTGTCAGCTGCTGCTGCTGCTGTAGCACTGTCAGCTGCTGCTGCTGCTGTAGCACTGTCAGCTGCTGCTGCGCTGTAGCACTGTCTGCTGCTGCTGCTGCTGTAGCACTGTCAGCTGCTGCTGCTGCTGCTGCTGTAGCACTGTCATCTGCTGCACCACCGTCAGCTGCTGCTGCTGCTGTAGCACCGTCTGCTGCTGCTGTAGCACCGTCTGCTGCGCTGTAGCACCGTCTGCTGCTGCTGCTGCTGTAGCACCGTTGTTGGTGTGGTTTATTGAGAATACCAAGAAATAGGTAGTAGGTTGGTAGACAGCAACCACCCAGGGAAGTACTACCGTCCTGCCAGATGACTGTGAAACAAAAACCTGTAACTGTTTTGCATGATGGTAGGATTGCTGGTTTCTTTTTCTGTCTCATAAACACGCTAAGATAACAGGGATATCTTGCTACTCCTACTTACACTTTGGTCACACTTCATAGACACGCACATGCATATATATATATACATACATCTAGGTTTTTCTCCTTTTTCTAAATAGCTCTTGTTCTTTTTTATTTCTTCTATTGTCCATGGGGAAGTGAAAAGAATCTTCCTCCGTAAGCCATGCGTGTCGTATGAGGCGACTAAAAGCCGGGAGCAATGGGCTAGTAACCCCTTCTCCCGTATACAATTACTAAAAAAGAGAAGAAGAAAAACTTTATAAAAACTGGGGTTGCTTAAATGTGCGTGGATGTAGTGCGGATGACAAGAAACAGATGATTGCTGATGTTATGAATGAAAAGAAGTTGGATGTCCTGGCCCTAAGCGAAACAAGCTGAAGGGGGTAGGAGAGTTTCAGTGGGGGGAAATAATGGGATTAAATCTGGAGTATCTGAGAGAGTTAGAGCAAAGGAAGGGGTAGCAGTAATCTTAAATGATCAGTTATGGAAGGAGAAAAGAGAATATGAATGTGTAAATTCAAGAATTATGTGGATTAAAGTAAAGGTTGGATGCGAGAAGTGGGTCATAATAAGCGTGTATGCACCTGGAGAAGAGAGGAATGCAGAGGAGAGAGAGAGATTTTGGGAGATGTTAAGTGAATGTATAGGAGCCTTTGAACCAAGTGAGAGAGTAATTGTGGTAGGGGACTTGAATGCTAAAGTAGGAGAAACTTTTAGAGAGGGTGTGGTAGGTAAGTTTGGGGTGCCAGGTGTAAATGATAATGGGAGCCCTTTGATTGAACTTTGTATAGAAAGGGGTTTAGTTATAGGTAATACATATTTTAAGAAAAAGAGGATAAATAAGTATACACGATATGATGTAGGGCGAAATGACAGTAGTTTGTTGGATATGTATTGGTAGATAAAAGACTGTTGAGTAGACTTCAGGATGTACATGTTTTATAGAGGGGCCGCAGATATATCAGATCACTTTCTAGTTGTAGCTACACTGAGAGTAAAAGGTAGATGGGATACAAGGAGAATAGAAGCATCAGGGAAGAGAGAGGTAAAGGTTTATAAACAAAAGAGGAGGCAGTTAGGGTAAGATATAAACAGCTATTGGAGGATAGATGGGCTAATGAGAGCATAGGCAATGGGGTCGAAGAGGTATGGGGTAGGTTTACAAATGTAGTGTTAGAGTGTTCAGCAGAAGTTTGTGGTTACAGGAAAGTGGGTGCAGGAGGGAAGAGGAGCGATTGGTGGAATGATGATGTAAAGAGAGTAGTAAGGGAGAAAAAGTTAGCATATGAGAAGTTTTTACAAAGTAGAAGTGATGCAAGGAGGGAAGAGTATATGGAGAAAAAGAGAGAAGTTAAGAGAGTTGTGAAGCAATGTAAAAAGAGAGCAAATGAGAGAGTGGGTGAGATGTTATCAACAAATTTTGTTGAAAATAAGAAAAAGTTTTGGAGTGAGATTAACAAGTTAAGAAAGCCTAGAGAACAAATGGATTTGTCAGTTAAAAATAGGAGAGGAGAGTTATTAAATGGAGAGTTAGAGGTATTACCTGGAGTTTACCTGGAGAGAGTTCCGGGGGTCAACGCCCCCGCGGCCCGGTCTGAAGGAATATTTTGAGGAATTGTTAAATGTTGATGAAGATAGGGAAGCTGTGATTTCGTGTATAGGGCAAGGAGGAATAACATCTTGTAGGAGTGAGGAAGAGCCAGTTGTGAGTGTGGGGGAAGTTCGTGAGGCAGTAGGTAAAATGAAAGGGGGTAAGGCAGCCGGGATTGATGGGATAAAGATAGAAATGTTAAAAGCAGGTGGGGATATAGTTTTGGAGTGGTTGGTGCAATTATTTAATAAATGTATGGAAGAGGGTAAGGTACCTAGGGATTGGCAGAGAGCATGCATAGTTCCTTTGTATAAAGGCAAAGGGGATAAAAGAGAGTGCAAAAATTATAGGGGGATAAGTCTGTTGAGTGTACCTGGTAAAGTGTATGGTAGAGTTATAATTGAAAGAATTAAGAGTAAGACGGAGAATAGGATAGCAGATGAACAAGGAGGCTTTAGGAAAGGTAGGGGGTGTGTGGACCAGGTGTTTACAGTGAAACATATAAGTAAGCAGTATTTAGATAAGGCTAAAGAGGTCTTTGTGGCATTTATGGATTTGGAAAAGGCGTATGACAGGGTGGATAGGGGGGCAATGTGGCAGATGTTGCAAGTGTATGGTGTAGGAGGTAGGTTACTGAAAGCAGTGAAGAGTTTTTACGAGGATAGTGAGGCTCAAGTTAGAGTATGTAGGAAAGAGGGAAATTTTTTCCCAGTAAAAGTAGGCCTTAGACAAGGATGTGTGATGTCACCGTGGTTGTTTAATATATTTATAGATGGGGTTGTAAGAGAAGTAAATGCGAGGGTCTTGGCAAGAGGCGTGGAGTTAAAAGATAAAGAATCACACACAAGTGGGAGTTGTCACAGCTGCTCTTTGCTGATGACACTGTGCTCTTGGGAGATTCTGAAGAGAAGTTGCAGAGATTGGTGGATGAATTTGGTAGGGTGTGCAAAAGAAAAAAATTAAAGGTGAATACAGGAAAGAGTAAGGTTATGAGGATAACAAAAAGATTAGGTGATGAAAGATTGAATATCAGATTGGGGGGAGAGAGTATGGAGGAGGTGAACGTATTCAGATATTTGGGAGTGGACGTGTCAGCGGATGGGTCTATGAAAGATGAGGTGAATCATAGAATTGATGAGGGAAAAAGAGTGATGGTGCACTTAGGAGTCTGTGGAGACAAAGAACTTTGTCCTTGGAGGCAAAGAGGGGAATGTATGAGAGTATAGTTTTTACCAACGCTCTTATATGGGTGTGAAGCGTGGGTGATGAATGTTGCAGCGAGGAGAAGGCTGGAGGCAGTGGAGATGTCATGTCTGAGGGCAATGTGTGGTGTGAATATAATGCAGAGAATTCGTAGTTTGGAAGTTAGGAGGAGTGCGGGATTACCAAAACTGTTGTCCAGAGGGCTGAGGAAGGGTTGTTGAGGTGGTTCGGACATGTAGAGAGAATGGAGCGAAAACAAAAATGACTTCAAGAGTGTATCAGTCTGTAGTGGAAGGAAGGCGGGGTAGGGGTCGGCCTAGGAAGGGTTGGAGGGAGGGGGTAAAGGAGGTTTTGTGTGCGAGGGGCTTGGACTTCCAGCAGGCATGCGTGAGCGTGTTTGATAGGAGTGAATGGAGACAAATGGTTTTTAATACTTGACGTGCTGTTGGAGTGTGAGCAAAGTAACATTTATGAAGGGATTCAGGGAAACCGGCAGGCCGGACTTGAGTCCTGGAGATGGGAAGTACAGTGCCTGCACTCTGAAGGAGGGGTGTTAATGTTGCAGTTTAAAAACTGTAGTGTAAAGCACCCTTCTGGCAAGACAGTGATGGAGTGAATGATGGTGAAAGTTTTTCTTTTTCGGGCCACCCTGCCTTGGTGGGAATCGGCCAGTGTGATAATAATAATAAAAAAACCAAGAAACAATTAACCCCAGAGGGTTAGCCACCCAGGATAACCCAAAAAAGTCAGTGTCATCGAAGACTAACTTATTTCCATTGGGGTCCTTAATCTTGTCTCCCAGGATGCAACCCACACCAGTCGACTAACACCCAGGTGAACAGGGAAAAATGCCTGGAACTAGTGCTCATATTGGTGAATTTAAAGCCAGCAAAGGTTGGTTTGAGAGATTTAAGAATCGTAGTGGCATACACAGTATGATAAGGCCTGTTCTGGAAGAGAATGCCAAACAGGACCTACAGTAATCAGGAGGAAAAGGCACTCCCAGGACACGGTGTCTCATCAGTCATTGCTGCATCTTCAATAAAGGTAAGTGTCATTTATTCTTCATTTAGTAGAGTAGTACATGCACAATATATATTGTACATGTACTACTCGACTATTGTGCATGTATCCTTCTCTTTGTGTGTAGGAAAATGTATATTTCATGTGGTAAAAAATTTTTTTCATACTTTTGGGTGTCTTGCACAATTAATTTGATTTCCATTATTTCTTATGGGGAAAATTCATTCGCATAACGATAATTTTGCATAACAATGAGCTCCCAGGAACGGATTAATATCGTTATGCGGGGGTCCACTGTAATTTGTGTATCATATATGCATTTTTTTTTTAAGGCCTAGCTCTATTGCTTACTTAACCGCCGAAACTACAAATCCTGAGGAGTCTTCTAGTGTCGAAGAATTTGTGGGGGGCAAAAAAAAAAAAAAATTATTATTAAATGATAGAGAATCTTTTCCCATTGGTAATGACACCAAAAAAAACGAAATTAGATGGAAAACTTACAGAATTACGCTCTTGCAAAGTTAGCGACCTCAGCGATATTTACGAATCAGCGATTTCACCCACTTTGAACCCTATTTTCGGCTAATTCCATTGTTCCAGTCAACCAAACTCATAGCTATTTCTTTAGAACTCCATTTGTTCTATCAACCGAGTACAAGAAACTGCCCATTTACCGATTTCAATTACCCAATAACGTGGTCAGAAATTTGTAATTTGGCCAATTTCACGCAAATTAAAAAATATGCCAATTTCAAAATAGGGTCCAGAATGAATAATGCAGACATTCCTGGCTCTAAAATAACATTTTCTTTGTTCATCAGTCACGTCTCTAAGCCCCTCTGATATTACTCTTGCTTTCTATTTTGAATTTTTATTCAAACAAAAAATAGAAGACTTATTACAATATTGCAGTAGTCTGCATAATTGTATAAATAATGTCAACACATTCATGACTGCATATTAGAATGGCTAGTTGGACATTTATTGGACAATGACATTATTTGTTTACTTTTGAACATTGGCAAAAATCAAACATTTCCCCTATTTGGAGCTCCATTTCAAGGTTCTATTCGCAGTAAAACCAATCAAAATCACCGCTATTTTTTTTTTTTTATTATTTATGTCTTTGCAAACAGTATATTGAGATTTTGTATGGGTTGCAATGCAAAGAGCCTCTATTATGCCTAGGCATTATGGGCCAACTTAACATTATTGGCTTACAGACTACTTAACACTAAGGATTATATCATAGTTGTACAGTAGATTATTAACCCTTTCAGGGTCCAGAGGCC